GTATCAACTTACAATTCAACTCAATACAGAGAAGTTTTTATTCCTAAAATAAACAGATCACACATTCTAAGTTTTTAATAGCTATTCCATTAGGCAAAGAAGTAACACCCTATAAAATATTTAGTTTTACAGTGCTTAATATTATGACATGGAGGACAAAGTATTGGGCAGATAGTTGTATATAAAGAATTCTTTAGAAATGACTTTAGAAATTTTTTAGAAATTCCGGCTCTAAGAGGACTTGTATAAAAATCTGCGTTCTCTAAACAGAGAACAGAGAAAGCCAATGAGTGAGATTAAAAACCAGTAAATCACACAGGATCTTAAACATTAATGAGGGACCATTCTTGAGATATTAGGTACAACCACAGTGCTAATGTCTTTAAGTGCTACATTACTCAAATGTAGCTGGTGGGCTTTTACTTTTCCTGGATGGATTTTAACTAAATAGACTTTAGACATTTGGATATAGATAAATGCCTAATTCAGTAATTAGTATTTTAAAACTGTGAAACCTTTTAAGTTAAGTGGTCTATTAATTAACTACCAATTATCTTGTCTGACTACCATATCAATAGAAGTAAATTACTGACAAGCTGTTTGACAGATTTAGTCCTCTGCCATGCAAAATTTCTTCAGAATATAAAAAGCTTGCACTTAAATGCTTTTGCATTCCCCTTTTGGCTAATCAGGGATCAATTTGTTGCTCATGTATAAAGGCCAAACACAACTCCTTGGTCAAAAAGGGTCTACAGATAAACTTTAGCTTTCACAAATGGCAAGCTTTAGGATAAAACTTCTTTGTTAAAAAAATAACAGGTGAAGCAACCTTATTTGGGGATGGGAGAAACACATGCGCAGTTTCCAAATGGAAGCCAACTTTCCATATATCAAAGTGCAGTAGAGAGGTATTTTCAAATTTTCACCTTTCAACAAGATAAAAAGAGCATCCATACATGGTTCCTAGAAGCTAAAGTACATGATACTGCACGCATTCCTCATGGTCTTATTCTAACAGTATTTCACAGTAAGGTATGCTGATTAAAATCTACCCCAAATCCATCACTTTTAGACTGGTAACTAGAAGGTTCCTGGGCTAGCTGCTGCTGACAGAACTCGGGAGGTTTGCAAAGTAATGCTAGGGGTCATAAAGGTTTCCAAAGCATATAGAAATAGCACGTGGCTATGAGCCAAGAAGAAACTGCTCCAGGGACTCTCTCTGAGGCCTGGGCATTGAAAAATATGAATGCTTTCCACGCTTTCAATCTGAGTGATTCAAACTGGCACATCAGTACCAGGCTTCTCAAAGTTGCTGGCCTTACATATCAACAAACAGAGTTAATACTGCATAGTAAAACTGAGCACACTGGTGGGACAGAAAGAATGAAAAGATTGTAGAAGAAATTAAAAAAATGCAAGCAATAATGAATATGAGACAGTCCCATTTTTGAATGTACACAACCTGAGTTATTCCAATATAATGTTTACCTTTTGAAACTTTGCAACATGGACCCATCATGTGAGTGGTCTCTGAACAGGTTATTTCCAAAATACTAAAGCAGAAACCTTTTACATATTATCAAGTATTTATTGGGGTAGGGAGTTGGGGTGGGTATTGCGGCATAAACTCCTGCTACCCTTCCAAGAGGGAGAGAACTGGAAGAAGCTCCTGGTTCCTGATTTGGCTGCCCAAGCACTAGCCACTGTGGCCTCTGGGAAGTGAACCAGTGGAGAGAAGATCTCTAACTTTGATTTTCAAACAAATAAACAGATCTTTAAAAAATACATACATATTGATTCAATATATCTTACAAATACAGCTGTATGTTGGGCACAAACTACCTAAAGATGGCTTCCATCTGCTCTAGGATGCAGGGCACAAGGTACACAAAGTGATACCAAAGGGTAAACATGAGGCATCAAAAGACGGGGACAACAACAAATGCTGCCAGAAATCAATGCAAGGAAAAAGAAAACCTTGGATGAGTCACTGAAGATTTGCTGGAAAACAAGGAGCTGGATAAGACGGTCTTCAGGATCTTTCTACTTTGATATCCAAAAATTGCCAGCATGGTTGGAGTAAGTTGAGAAGATTATATTAAGAATTAGAACTAGGCTTTACAAGGCAGAGGGAGGGATGGGCCACAGGATTAATAGTTAAGACATCTGTTGGGACACCCACATCTCACACTTGAGTGCCTGGGTTGGATACTTGATTCCAGTCCCAGCTCGGGCTCCCGACTCCAGCTTCCTGCCAATGTGGGACTCTGAAGGTGGTAACGATGACTCATGTAGTTGGGTCCCTGCCACAGCTGCGGGAGACCTGGACTGAGGCCCTGAACAGCCACTGTGGATATGTGGGAGCTCTCCGTCTGTCTCTTTCAAATAAATAAACAGACCTATGGAATGGAGGAAGAGGGCGTTCCATGCAGTAGCATGAAGAATGGTTTAGAAATGGGAACACCCACAGCTTTTCAGTGAGAGTCCGCACAGTTTTTTGTTTCACTGTAAACGACTTTAATTCTGTGAGTCAGGATCAACATGTTATCTGTTATTTCACGAAAAGGCATTAACTGCTACTTTAAACTTTGGCTCAAATGATTGGTTCAAATAACTGGGCAAATCTTTGCTCAGCTAATTTACTGTCTCCAATCTATGGGGCCAGTGTTCCTACCCACCCAGATACAGTCAAAAGACACCTCTTTTTTTTTCTGGAAGGAAAATAGCGCTTACCACAAAGTTATCACCAACGTTTTCACCTAGAGGACTACTGGAAAAGACACTGAATACAGGAGTCAACAGCATTACATGGTACATTCTCTTTTAAATTTTAGCAACTGGGTCTTAGTTCTTCTCAACAGATTTGTAAAGTCTTGGCAAAAAGTCAGAAATTCCAACCCTAAAATGAATTTTCTGACTCAATATTGAAAACAAATTCTTAAGTTTAGATGCTTAGGGGAAAAACAGCTGGAGAATTCAGGAGCCTCCCATATTTTAATATGAAGTGACGTCATTACTGTTAACGCTTCCAAGAACTCCCTAAATTGTGTGTTAGGCAACATTCTGCAGCACAGTGAGGACTCTAGGAAGGAGGCGTGCTCTTCTATGGTGCACAGATTCAGTTGCAGAACAATTTTTCTTCTGGCGATTTGATTTAATTTCCTCCTTATTTTAGAAAGTAGTCTAATGTATGAAGTATAGCATATTAATTCAAGTGCACTTTCAAAGTTAAGGCACTTACTTCATATCTGGGGAAGATCAGCTGCTTTCTTGGTGTATTCAACTACAGCTGTATGGAATTTCTTTATAAAAATCTGGTTACATTTGATTTTATGGTTCAGCAAAAATGATCATGGGAGAAAGTAGGCAAGACTGCTAAACTCCGGAGAGCTTCATGCAGGTAAAAGTTTGTGGTTGGGAAATCTTGCAAAATCTCAGGCAAAGGTTACTAGGAAGAAAACAATGCTAGTGCCTGGGGCATAACCAATACACCACTGAAGGCTGTGTTCTGTTTCAGGCTGACAAGCCCAGTGAAACCAATGGGTTTCGACGCAGCTGCTTCTTCTACTAAACTCTACCTATGATTTGCCTGCCAAATGGTAGTTGCTTGTTTTATTTTACTAAGAGACACTTGATAAACTATACCCCCCCAAGTTTATTCAGTTGGCTTTTACTCACCTAGTCTACCTCTAGGCTATTCACTACCTATTCCTACGGACCCAGGAGCTGCACACATTTCGATTCAGTTCCCCACTCCCACTACGCAAACCAACATGCAATTTCATGCCATGTCCCCCCGCCCTCACGTTTCTATGTTCCCAAACTGAATAGGGTCACCTCCTTACCACCTGAAACAGAGTTTGCACAGGTAATTTATATGTTTATTTTCAGAGATCTGGAAATTATATAAAGCTCGTGTTCTGAAATCAAACCTAAAAAAGCTTCCTCCAGGATCAGAGAAAAAGTGTGGTGTTCAAAGAGCAACATTCAAATAAATACCTCTAAAGCCAGATTAAGTTTTTAAGCAGTTGCTAAAAAGCTAATGTGGTTAATGTGACCTATTTAGGAGAAACAGTTCTTTGTTGTGTTCTATTACAAGGCTGCTCTGCCTATGGGACAAAGACTCCATCTCCTTGCCCCTTCGCTACTGGCTTCTACCCACACGTGAAAATAAATGGGAAATACTCTGAGGAAGGAAAGTGCACAGTGGGAGGCAGCTAGAGGGAAAAGTTCATACTGACCCTTCCTGCACGTTAAGTTCAGCTGTAAAACTGGGTTCACTCTCCCCTCACCCCGCCAAAAGGCAGAAGGTTCTTCTCCTCCTTGGAGGCAGCAGTGACGCTGATGGCCAGTGGACACAGCCTCAATCCCCCATTCCCTGGGCCCCCAACTCCTCCCCTCTCTGTGGCCCCATCAGGGAATGACTGGGGTTCACTGAGAGGCACTTTCCATGCTAAGCTGGTCCTGTGAGGTCCTCCAACCCAGGCAATGCCATGGGTCCCCAGGGATGGCCCAAGGTTGCTCAGTGACTGCCAGGGTGGCCTCACCACTCCCAGTGGACCATAGATGCTGCTCTCAGATGATCTGGCACTTTCTACAATGTGGCTGAGCAGTAATTTGGAAGCCTAAACCCCGACTTTCGGAATTCATAAGAACAACCAATGTTTTATAAACTCAACAGAAAGTAAAATAAACAAACCCAGGGTTTTATACTCCCTCTTGTTATTTTTATGGCAATCTTTCAAACTAGTCCAAAATGCTCAGTCTTCAATCCTCTCAAGAAAACTGAATTGAGGAGGTGGGGGGGTAGTGTATGGAGAAAACAACTATTTAACAGTAACCAGCATACATTATAACTCACCCCGGGGGAATAGCTGCTTAGAAGGAAGCTTTGTGGTCAGAAGTGCAGGTGGCTTTTGGGCTGGCACTGGAGTCTCACTCCTTCCCGACCTTCTCCCCGAGGAGGGCCCACTAACAAAAACAAGGATGTTTATATTTACCCAGAAGTGTGCGTGGCAATTGACCATCATGGTTCTCTCAATGAGCTCATCAGGACATTCCAGGAGATGATGGCCAGAGACCACTCCGGCATTATTGACCAGGACCGAGACCTCGCCAACCTCCTTGCGGACCCGCTCTGCCGTCAGGTAGACGTTCTCCCTCTTCCCCACATCACAGGTGTAGGTAAAAACCTGTAAGTTACAGTGGGGCAGAATCTCTTCCTCACCGTTCCCAGCTGTCCTCGGAAGTCCAGATGAGGGGGGAAAGAAAAGGACAGAGAAAAGGGGGTGCAGAAAGTGAGTTAGATGGTAATCGGCAGGACACGGATCACACAAAACAAAAACATTACAGTGAGCCTCACATTTCTAACACAGTAAGGCTTGCCAACGACAGGGCTTACAGCTGCCTTCCTCCCTCCAAAGTCTGTGGGAATTGCAGCAATTTACTGGATAACTCTGCTTAGGGGAGAGTCATGTAATTGTGACAAGCTCAATACAAGTAGACCACATGGGATCAGGTTGCTGGGGCTAAAGACACCTGCAAAGAACTGATGTCAGCCCAGAGAGTAACACAGCACACCACACACTCTTTCCTTCCTTCCTTTCCCTCTCTTTAGAGAAATAGCTCTGAATCGTGGTAGGAATGCCCTTCAGATGGAGGCTAACTCCAAAGCCCACCAAATCAAAACTAAAATAATCTGAATTCATTCAAAATCAAGAAATGGAAGGAAACGTCTCCTGGAAAAGTACAGGTCACTGCTTCTTTCTTGGGGGCGGGGGCTGGTTGACCCTAAGCAGCAGTGCCCTACAAACCAAGCACACAGGGAAATGTGCAATCGTCCGGCAGAAGAACTTGGACATTTGAAACACCAAACATCCCTTCCCTGGAAACAGAATACTCTGATCTTTCAGGTTTTGGCAGGAAGCATGAAAGTCTGTTTGCCACCCACGGAAAATCTTAACATGTTCAACCTCAGGCCAAAAGGCAGGTGCCAGTAATCGCGGTGACAAAAGATCCATTCTGGGGGGAGGAGTCATCTGCCGTAAACTTCAATGTTTTCCCTGAAAATCTTTGTCAAAAGCCCTGAGCCATGACCAAATTTCCGGGAGCAATGTGTATGGTTGGTTATGGTCTCTGTTGGATCCTTGTACTTGCCTAAAGTCTCAGATTCAGGCTAGTTCGTGAACGACAGAGAAGCAGGCGGGGGTGACCACAACCATGGCACAAATGTACCGTGGCTTCAATCCTCCGCAGCCGGGCATCCCTCAGTCAAGCTCAGAGGCGGTAACTCAACGCACTTCTTTATGGTTAGTGAGACAATGTAATTATTTCGCAGGCGCACCCCCCCCCCCCCGCACACCCCTGCGGCTAAAGTTAAGGGGAAATCCGCACTGCCGCCCGAGTCCAAGGGCTTCGGACCCGGGCAACACACACTGTCCAAGGGCTTCGGGCCAGCCTGGAAGCAACTTCCCAAAGACACTGGAGTTGCCCAACCGGCGCCCGCGCACGGCACCGGAACATTTCTTTCAGACGCAAACCTGAAGTCCCAAGTTCCCTCTGCCCTCCCTTACCCGCGGCGGGCTGAGAAACACCACCCACCCCACCCACATGCACCCCTTCCCAAGCCGTCCTCCTCGAAACCAACAGGGGCTCCGAGGCGCGGGATTTGGCACCCGTCCCCCTCCCTGGGAACAGGGAGAGGACCGTGCTCCTTTCTCGGGGCGCACTCCACTTCCCTTCCACCAGCGCGGCCGAGGGTTCCTTTCCTGGCGAGCCGGGCGGACCGTGACAGTGGCGCTGCGAACCCTCCGACCAGGGCGCCGCGCGCGGGGGCGGAGAGGCACGACCCAACAATGCCGGCCGCAGGTCCGGGGTTACCTTGCAGCGCGGCGGCGTCGGCCGCCTCCAGGTCGCGGTAGATGTGGCGCACCATGCCGGCCGTCTCCTCGTTGCTCTGCGTGTTGATGTCCCAGAGCACCAGCAGTGCCCGGCGCCGGGCGAACTCGAGCGCGAAGAGCCGACCCAGGCCGCTGCCGGCGCCCGTGATGAGGCACACCTGGCCGGCCACGCTCTTCTCCTTGGGCCGCACCAGCCAGCGCGCCGCGGCCAGCACGAACGCCCACAGCACTTTAAAAGTGACCACGAAAAACTCCACCACGATGTTCATCGCGGCGCCCGGGTCCCCGCGCCGGTCCAGGCGCCCGCGTCCGCACCCACTCCCGCGCCTGCCAAGCCTGGCTCAACTGCCCACCCCGGGGGGCGCGCTGGTCAGAGCCACTGGCCCCAGGAAGGCTGCGCCCCGCGGTGCCCGCCGCCGCTCCTGGCTCAGCGCGGGGGGCCACTCCCGCTCGGGATCGGCGGCGCGGTGGCCCCGGGCTGTGCCCTCCGCCGCGGCCGCCCGGCTCGGCGCCTCCTGCTGGCGGCCGCCCGCCCGCCCGCCCCGGCCGGTCCCGCTGCAGCGCCGGTGACAGCAGCGGAGTTAGGCGACGCGCGCCGCCCTCATGGCCAAGCGGCCGCCTGGGCGAACCCCCTGTCAGCCCGGGGCCGGCCGCCCGCCGCGGGGGACTTGTCAACTTGACCCCAAGTTACGAGAGGGGGTGCGAGGGTGGGGTGCGGGGCAGCCGGGCCAAAGAAGGGGCGACTCGCTCTGCGGAGGCGAGCGCTCGCTTCCCCGCGCGCTCGTGTCCACCGCCTCGCCGTGCTCCACCGGCCCCAGGCGGCTGTCACTCCGCGCGGCGAGCTCCAGCAGCGCCCGAGTCGGAACCCTCCCGGTCGCCTGCGAGCGGGCTCCACGCTCCGCGCTATATAGCCGGCGACCGGGAAGAGCCGGCGGCGGCCTCGGCCCTCCCTCCGCCCGGCCCTTCCCCGCCTCCCCGGGCGCACCCCGCCCCCGGCCCAGCCCCCCGCCAGCCAGCCAGCCGTGCGGCGCGCCGCGCGGGGCAGCCCCTCTCACATGGCCGTGGCCGCCGCCTCCTCCTCCTCCAGCGCTCGCGTCTCACCTCCCTGCGCGGCTCCCCTGTCCCGGGCCGCCAGGGCCTCCGCCTCCCGGGCCCAGCGCTCGGCAGCGTCTTGGCCATCCTCCGGCCGGCCCGTCCTCGCCGGTCACCGCCTCGACACTTTGGGTCAAGCCCCGGGTGGGAAGGACTCCGGCCGCCCTCCGCTCTCCGCCTCCCTTCCCGCGCCGGGCAGTCAGGCGCTGCGGAAGACAGCCCTGCAGGCCGGCGGAACGGCGGGGAGGACCTCGGCGGCGCGGTCCGGCGGTGCGGTGGCCGGGGACGGCGGGCGCCGGTAGCTGGAGGGCGGCCCCCCGGGAGGACACTCGGGGTCGCACTGGCCGTGTGGGACGTGTCCCCAAGGGCTCGTCCCCCGCCCGAGCCACCAAAGAAGCGCTTGCCATCCCCCTCGCCCAGTGGGCGACGGAGCGGTGCATGCTGGGGATTGTAGTTCGCGGTTTGGAGGCGTGTGCTTAACATTAGACGGGCGGGAACCTGTCAGCGCCGCTCTGCTCTTGGATGGATTAAAAATCAACACACATGTTTTTGTCATGAGAACTTTAACCCAAAAGTTGGTTGGAAGAGCCTGGCGCAGGCAGTTTTGAATTCAGCGTCTGCAAAGCAGGTTCTCAATTCTGGGTTCTTTTTCCGGCTTATGCTAGGACACCTATAGGATTTGGGGCTTGACTGTCGCAGGCTTTAAGTGGGCAGTGCGCATGCGCTGGCTTCCTCTTTTCCGGCTGGAACCATGGAGGCTACCGAGTAAGTCTCTGTGTCTGCTCCGCCGTATCCTTCTCCATCCCCGTCCGCGGAGGCATTTTGTCTCGTCTTTTCTTTGCATGGCCGTAGCTTGTACCTTGGCCCACTTGTGTCTGCGTTTGTGACGTTCTGCGACACGTTGGCGAGCGGCCTCGGCGCGCAGGGCTCGGGAGGGCTCGGGGATGAAGTGCAGAGGCCGAGCGTGTGCGGAAGCGGCCGGGTGGAGGGCCGGTGCTGCGGAGGCCAGCTTGGGAGGGAAGCTCCGAGCGCCCGAGTCCCGGGGTCGGTGTCCGGCTGCCGCTTGGCCGTCGGGCCGGTGCAGGTGCAGGCTGGAGGCCGGGCCGTGGCTCCGAGGCCGTGGTCGCCCGAGGGGCTGGTGGGCAGCGCTTCTCGGCGGCTTCCCGGGCTAGCGCGCTGTGGTCGTCGCCGTGCCCGTCTGTAAGCTGGCAGCGAAGGGGGCTGTGTGCGCCGTGGCGGGTGTTGGCGTCCCGGCAGTCCTGGCCCTCGGCTGGCTGCGCTGGGGCCATGTGGGGGAGCCCGGGTTCGAACCCCGGGCCCGTGCGGGAGGTGACTCCAGGGCCACAGCTTCGCAGGCGCCCGATCCTCCCCGTGTGCTCCCTCCAGAGAGAAGAAGAAGAAGGTTCCCGCCGTGCCAGAAACGCTGAAGAAAAAGCGGAGGAATTTCGCAGAGCTCAAGATCAAGCGCCTGCGGAAGAAGTTTGCCCAGAAGATGGTGAGTGAACTTTCTGTGGGCGGGCGCTTACCGTTTCAGAAGCCTGGCGTCTGGGCTTCCTGAAGGACTGTACCAGGGGGTGCTTGGCATCCTAATGTGGCTGATGTGTGTCTAGATATGTGCTGGCATGGTAAGTAAGGAAAAAAAGGGAGAGTCGTGACACCCCCCCCCACACACACACACACCCGGGAAAGTGGTGTAGTTAATTGATCAAGGCCCGAAGTCTCACACGTGTCTGACGGTTTATTTCAGCTCCGGAAGGCCAGAAGGAAGCTCATCTACGAGAAGGCCAAGCACTACCACAAGGAGTACAGGCAGATGTACAGAACTGAGATTCGCATGGCGAGGATGGCAAGGAAAGCCGGCAACTTCTACGTCCCTGCAGAACCCAAGCTGGCGTTTGTCATCAGGATCAGAGGGTGAGTGGTACCGACGGCCTTCTCGTTGAAGGAAAGGTTAGGCAGCACTTCTGGAAACTGTTTCTGTAACGTTGGGGTCACGTTGTGGGGGCAGGCTAGAGCGACGGGGCTGTCACTTGAATGGTGTGGTGCTAGTTTTGTACCCTGCTGTAGCAGGGAACTTTTAGAAACATTTGCTTCAAGTGCTATGACAACAGTGAATGTCAGGAGAGAGCCCAGAGGGGGCGGTGGGGTTCAGGTGTTAAGGCTGTGCATCAAGACTTTATGTGGAGGTTGTAGCGGCAGAGCAGAAGGCTCATGAGAAGGGCGAGCTAAGGGCGATACTGCATACAGGGAGAAGTCGCTCACTGCCAAATGAGGGACATGCCAGTGGGTTTTGGTCTTACTAGCAGGGGTAATTGGCTACTTAGGTGAGAGTTGCGTGTTGTCTGATACTACATTGCTCAGCTTGGGGTTCTCTGTTGATCTGGTAAAACCCAAGTCGACCTGTTGGCACTTTCCATTGCAGTATCAATGGTGTGAGTCCCAAAGTCCGCAAAGTGCTGCAGCTCCTTCGCCTTCGGCAGATCTTCAACGGCACCTTTGTGAAGCTCAACAAGGCTTCTATTAACATGCTGAGGATTGTGGAACCCTACATCGCATGGGGGTAGGTCTGTTTGTCCTTGTTTCCTGCACTGGCTGCATTTGGAGAGATAGGTGCTAGTAGTTAAGGATGATCACCTTTGATGCTTTATGTCTACCTTGCGTGCTTTCAGCTACCCGAATCTGAAGTCGGTGAACGAGCTCATCTACAAGCGTGGCTATGGCAAAATTAACAAGAAGCGAATCGCTCTGACCGATAACACCCTGATTGCCCGTTCTCTTGGTAGGTTCTGTGTTTGGAATTAAATTATTTTCTGGACCCGCATTTGTTAGTAATCTCCTGTTTTCCCTACCGTTAGGGTTAACGGACTTGGCTTAAGTAAATATATGCGTTTTGCTACTTTTTTTTTTTTAATAGTTTCAGCGTTATTTGCTGTTGGTTAGCTTTTCTCAGCTTGTAATTGTGTTTGTTGGGTGTCTTAAAACTTGAATGACCGAAGTACCTCAAATTTCAGGTAAATACAATATCATCTGCATGGAGGATCTGATCCATGAGATCTACACTGTTGGCAAACACTTCAAAGAAGCAAATAACTTCCTGTGGCCCTTCAAGTTGTCTTCTCCCCGAGGAGGGATGAAGAAAAAGACCACCCATTTTGTAGAGGGTGGCGATGCTGGCAACAGGGAAGACCAGATCAACAGGCTCATTAGAAGGATGAACTGAGGTGAGATGCTGCGTCCCTGTTAGGGTACAGGTGGTCATTTGAAAACTCTACACCTTGTTGATAGAAGTCTGTACTTTCCTTGGGGAGGGAGAAAGCTGCTGGGTACGGTTGGTTGGGTGTTTTTTTTTCCCTCTGGAGGACTTCTGTGGGGAGGAAAAGCTGTTTTTAAAGAAAGGGATATTCTTGAAAGTATAACCAGATTGTTTTGTCCAGTTAATTTTGTGTTCATTCTTAGTTACTAGGGTATTAACAGGGGTGTGTTTTTTTTTTTTTTCCTGCTTTCAGGTGCCTGTTCTGGTATTTTTATAATCTGGTCAGATAATAAATGTCAACTCCACTGAATTGAAATAAACTATTGTATTGGTGACTTTTGTTAGCCTGCCTTGTCTTCTGTTCGCTATCGTGGCAAATCTTTGCTGGAATTATAAGCCACCAACAGACTCAAGCAAAACTGGGCTCCAGATGGTGTTTTGAAAAACATTTCCTGATTCACAAAGGTTTTTATCTTTGAAAAAAAGAATATCTTCATTTTTTTTTTACTTTTCAGTTGTGCTACAAGTCAAAACCATTGGTATTTACATAATTTGTAGGTAAAATTGCAGTGAGCAGAAAATGTTGAGCATGTGCGTCTGAGGTTTTGTAAACGATTTCCTTTCCCTTTTCTTGTTTTATCTCTGGTAGCCATGTTTAGGGGAGCTACATATTGCTCTGTTACCAAGGGGCACTGGTGCTTAGGTCTGTAGGTGCATCGTGACCTAAACATCAAGTGTTGCTTAACTCGCCTAGACTAATGAGTGCTGAGTGCAACATGGCCCTGTCAAGAAACAGCTTTTTATGATGGTTCTTATGCTGTGGCTCGAATGCAATGTGAAGAGTAAAACGCCTCAGATACATTGGGGATTTTTGCTTTGTTTTGTTTTGTTTTGCATTTATTTGAGGCTATTCTCTTGAGTTGATGAGTGTTTTAGGGTCTTGAGTTTCCTCATGTTCCATGCTTACAGGTAACAATGTTTTGTCTGCTTGGTTCGGTGGGTCAACGTAATTGTAACTGCTTTGTAGATTTTAAGTAAAGTAACAGCATTTCCTCGTCACACATTCATTGTGCTGATGGGTAAGCAAAGCTGATAAGGTGTTGGTCTGTTCAGAAGATTAGGGAATGCCTTAAGTGGCCTCTACTGTGAGGTAGAAGTGGCCCTGTTTACCCAA